CTGAGACTGCATTGGAAGAGCTCATGTGTCGCATCTTAGGTGATCTGTTGGTGGAGGGTGTAGTCGCGAAGCTTGCGGACGATTTATACTGTGGTGGGGATACACCTGAAGAGCTCCTGCATAATTGGGAACGGGTACTGCAAGCCATGCGCAAGAGCGGTATGGTGTTGTCAGCTCCGAAAACCATCATCGCACCAGGGAGCACGACCATCCTCGGATGGATTTGGTCTCAGGGCCAGATACATGCGAGCCCCCATCGCATCGCTTCACTATCGACCTGCGAGCCACCCATGTCGGTGAAGGCCATGCGGTCATTTATCGGGGCATACAAGGTATTGGCTCGCGTGATCCCAAGTTGTGCCAATATAGTGGCTCCCTTCGACGACATGATGGCAGGGAAGTCATCCCAGGATAAGATAGAGTGGACGGAACAGCTACAGGATACGTTCCGCAGGGCTCAGAAACTCCTGTCCTCGAATAAGACGATTACCCTTCCAACACCCGATGACGTGCTATGGATCGTAACTGACGGAGCTGTCAAGAACCATGGTATCGGGGCTACACTCTACGTCACACGCAATGACAGAATACGGCTTGCAGGATTCTTCAGCGCGAAGTTACGAAAGCATCAGGTGACATGGTTGCCTTGCGAAGTTGAGGCATTAGCCATCGCAGCCGCTGTCCAGCATTTCAGCCCCTATGTCGTTCAGTCGCGCCATGGCACTTGTGTGCTGACGGATAGCAAGCCTTGCGTTCAGGCTTACGAAAAGCTGTGCCGTGGTGAGTACTCAGCCAGTCCCAGGGTGTCTACTTTCCTGGCCACAATCAGCCGCTATCAAACATCACTGCGCCACCTGGCCGGCAGTGCTAATGTGCCGTCAGACTTCGCCAGCCGCAATGCTCCAAACTGTGATGAGCCGAACTGTCAGATTTGCACATTCATCTCTCGCATAGAGGATTCGGTCGTCAGAGCCATTAGCGTTCAGGATGTATTGTCAGGTGGAGTCAGGCTGCCATTCACCAGCAGATCGGCATGGCGGTCCACGCAGTCTGAATGCCCAGATTTGCGGCGCACTCATGGTCATTTAGTACAAGGCACTCGTCCCTCCAAGAAGGCTACGAGCATCAAGGACATAAAGCGATATCTGAATGTCGCTACGCTTGCCAGAGATGGTCTGCTAGTTGTCAGAAGAAATGAACCATTTGTATCGGCACGTGAGTGTATCGTTGTGCCCCGTCAGGTTCTCGAGGGTCTTCTCACAGCAATACACATAAAGTTAGACCATCCTTCATGCCACCAGTTGAAGAATGTGTTCCACCGGTACTTTTATGCGTTGGACATGGACAAAGCCATTCAGAGCATCACGTCCGCATGTCATCAGTGTGCGGCGTTAGTCAAGATTCCGCATACCCTCGTGCAGCAGTCTACCGGAGATCCACCAGTGGCAGTGGGGGTAGCCTTTGCAGCTGACGTGCTCAGACGAGAACGTCAACTTGTACTTGTTGTTCGGGAGGAAGTGACTTCATTTACAGCCGCGTGTTTGATCGACAGTGAGCGCCATGAGACTCTACGCGACGCTCTCATTCTGTTGTGCATTGGGCTACGACCCATGGACGGACCCGTGGCTGTTGTACGTACTGACCCCGCCCCAGGGTTTGCTGCCCTCATTGATGATGGTCTACTGAAACGCCATAGGGTTTGCATCGAGATAGGTCGTGTGAAAAACGTTAATAAAAACCCGGTGGCCGAGAGGGCTGTACAGGAGTTGGAGGACGAGCTTTTGCGCCAACAGCCTGGTGGTGGACCAGTTCCGTTACTTACTCTCTCTGTAGCTGTGGCACGGCTGAACTCCCGCATTCGTGGTCGAGGCTTGTCATCGCGAGAGATGTTGACGGCGGCAGGCGGGACGCAGTTTACCAATGCGCAGTTGCCAAGTGTGTGACCAGCCAGCTCATGCCGTATGAGCAACATGAAAAGGCGGCGTGCAAAATCACCCCGCACAGTGACGGCGCAAGGCCCCTCTAGGCGTAGGAAGCCCCTGGCTAGAGGCGTGCAGTTGTGTGGTGAGTCTGGGTATAGTCTGTATGGTGTATCGTGATAAGTGCACTGTGCACGGATCGCTAACCTGGTCGTATCTGCGTAGAGGGTGGTTGGTCCAACATTAGGAGTTCTCTGGGTTTCAGTTGTCGCAGTTCATCGTAGACGGTGGCAGTTAGGGCCGGAGTGCTACAAGGTTGCTGGAGGACCTCCGAGCTATGTACCGCGCCTATCATCACCAGCGAGGCGCTGATCAGATGTCGAAGATGTTCGAAGACGCGGAACACCTTTGACTGCAGGCTCACACGCACCCAGGGCCTTTCCAGCCCAAGATACCGGTCGTGTTGTCTCATGGCCGTCGCGGGAGAAGATCTGCCGGCACAGGCAATGGTAGAGCAGCACTAATTTAGCGGAGCATCCCTTGCAGACTGCCTGTGAAGCTGTTGCCTTCTGCGCCTATTACATGCGTGTGATGAGCCTATGCTGGGGAAGGACGATGCTACTTGCCCCTGCTGCCTAGACGGGTGGCCCGCGCGTCAGAGGCATGCCCCCGCAAGTAGCCTGGAAGAGGTACTCGCGTCAGTGCATGCGTCGATTCGTTGTGTGAAGTGGCAGTGTAGGAGTGGGCGTAGGTTAGTTAATGGGAGCCGGAACAATGCTCTGCTGTGGCGATCGGTGAAAGGGCAGTCTGGCCGAAGTGTAGTGAATCGAGTGACCAATAACGCTTGCATCGTATTCCAGTGTAGTGCCCAACGTTAACTTTGTTTATGCCTCTATGCATGTTATAGTGTTTAGTCAGTAGAATTCTATGTACGTGCAAGTTCGGCTATATCGTTCAGTTTACTCGCATTGCCAGTTCAGTTCAATGAGGAGAAAAAGGCAGTGCACGGCCGCAGTGTTTTGTGGGGGTTTTTTTTTATTCGGGCGGTTTTTTTAAATTTTTAAAACGGGAAAGAGGTGATTTATGATAGCCCTGAGAGAGGGCGCACAACCTCCGCCTCTTCGCAATTGCTCTTGTANGGTGGCGCCTCAGTTGCAAGACGCCTCAGAAGATACACTGAAGCACCTCTCTGACTACGTCACTTTAGCGATCAACCAGCAAGCAGCATGAGAGCAAACCCGTACAAGATCGTCCAAGCCTTGGCGTCAGGGCTCATTAGTCTTAGGGAGCCAACACAGGCTGAAAGCAAACACGTAAAGCTGATGAGAGGAAGAAGCTAGCGCTTTGGCAAAAGACACGTGCATCCGCAGCCAGTGTTCACCTTTGCAACTTCTCATCAACCTGCCCATCTTGTGGCTCGGATAGGCCTATGATAGTATTCTAGCTATCACACAATGATTGCCTTGCTAACTTGCTTTATGTTCAAACGTTTGCATCTGGTGGGGAAGGGCTCTCTTTGGAATAAATGGCTGGACCAGCGAGGTTAACAAACATAATCTGCTTGTCGTGTACATTATTTGTCCTAAGTGGTTCATGCATCGAATCATCAAGACACGTTATTGACACTGGCGACGAGCTTCAGTAACGAGCGAACCCACCGCTCGATTTCGAAACTATGGGAGACGAAATTCGGTGGTTAGAGAGGCATTTCAGCGCGTTTGAATGCTACACAGCCCGGCTACAGTAGGACACGAGTGGTCACGATTGGCTGACGCATTCCGGATTTCTCGGCGCTGATGGGAAAGGACTAATAATTGAGACTTGGATGGAAAGGAAACGAATTTGCACCACCATAAGCGCGCACAGCAAACATTACGCGTTCAGGAGCAGGAGAGCACTGTTGTCTCACTTAGCTTCGGCCCGCAGGTTCAAGACATCTTGCCCTCTACCACGACACCGGGGCCCGGTGAACGACTGACACCCCATGTCTTGTAAACAGCACTGAACCGGTTATTTCGCTTTGCTCCGCAGGTGAACGTCGCGCGTACGCACACGAAACGTTGTTTAACACTGCAGAGCCCAATCAGGCACGAACATTCCCTAGCAAATTATTCTACTAGGACTGCGCAAAACTTTCAATTGACGTGCCAATACGGAGCGGGACACAGAAAACCCCTTCGGTTGATCGCCTGCCTGTGGCGATGTACATCACATACATAAAGCGTAGGGCTCCTGGAGGATAGGGACGAACTGACACCTTGGCCCGTGCACTCGCATTTGCGGCCCAGTGTGTGAAGAGTAGAGATCTGATGGGCGCCACACACAAGTAGCTGAGTGCACAGGGGGAGACAGTGTGAACAAAGTGAGCTTCGGGCATGCAAGTCCAGTAAGTCCAGATGCTTGCTAGTTGGCCGTAACAGCAAGGGAGTGACCCGTAAACAACCGAGGTAGTCCTAAGATGCCGGTACTGAAGGACTTCTACTGCAGTGACCCCAAAGTGCCAGGCCAAACAGGCAAGAAGTGTAACAAGTGCACAAACAAATGCGACCACTTTTCGCATAAAAGTTTGCCAAATCTAAGGCATTTCCGTGGACTGCGGTGCATTACTGATGTGAGTGTGGCAGCAGTGGAGAACACCGGCGGACCCAAAACAAAGGCTAGTCGACTACGCACTTTAAAATAGGTGACGCAGAACCACGGGAGCGGCTGAAAGTACATGTCTGACACGGTGGCGGTGCAGCTGCAATGTTCGGTAGACTCTGGGAGCCAGTGTCAACCGTCATAGACAAACGAAACGTGCGACAGGATTGAAAGTCATGGCCGTCGTTTGGTGTCTCCAGTAATGCCACAAACCCGCCAAATTCCTTGCTTTGCATTATGGCGTGCAAAGAGCCATTGAAAACGCATCGGAAAACATTTTAAATCTGAGTGTTCAAATAGGCGCCGAGAACAAAAGTGCGCGAAGCGCGTTCTTTTGTTGTGTGAGTCGACGCCAAGCGTATTGCCCTTATTAGGTCATGGAAAACGGCGACGCTAAGCTACAGGTCCTGAGAGATACAATGGAGCATACTAAACTCGGTTGGTGTCTCCAGATATCCAACACTCGATCGTTTGCTATCCGGAGGTATTGATAGGCGGAAACTAGAGATCTGAGTTTAAAGGACTGCATTAGAAGGGACGGTGGGGCCGAACTCAAGGTCACTCAGGTAAAGTTAAACAACTCGATCCTTCGGTTAAACCGGTTCGCTCAGCTCTGACGCGAACACCATTTCGGATCTGAGGCTGAAAGGTAGAGAAGAAAAATAGAGGAACTCGTTAGAGGCGGACTAATAGAGCAGGCTCCGAGGAAATCGACAGAGGTGGGTCCAGTCCTACCGTCGAATGTGCGAAATGCGAACGCGACATAGAAAATTTGCCGGTGGGCGCCCTAGTGGACATAGACGCTCAACCAGGGCCAGGTAATGCCTATTCGTGAACGTCACCCGATACCCGCACGATACTCGAAGAGCTGCCTTCACAAGAATATGAACACAAAGTAAAGCCGGTATATCGTCGAGTTCTCGAATCTCGAAGTGGCGGATCATCATCAGTTAGAACTGCACCCTGACTCACGGAACTTCATGACATTGTAACGGCCACGTACGGCCTATGACAGGCTACAAGCGTTTGAATGTTCGAATTAACGTGATGCCGAAATTATTCGCCAGAACGAGATCCCGACAATGGTGGTGCAGGGAATTCCCAGCGTTGCTCGCCCGAATAAGTCAGACGATATTATCTGTGCACAGCGAAACTGTAGGAGGAACACTATGATAGTGTACGCAAGTTACTCGAGAGACTTAGTAAATGCAGGGCCTGACCGGTGAATTGGCAGAAATGCGACGTTGTTCAAATCAGAGTTTGGTATTTGATGGACACAAACTGTCGAACAACCGAGAGGTAAATCTGACACGGAGAGAACAGCTAAAAGCAGGTCGCGGAAGGCACGAGAACGGCGAACATAAGCGAACTAAAGAAGCCTTTCTCGGTCTCGGTGAACTACAAGCGCAGTATATACCTAACCTTCGCGACAGCTGACCGAACCACTGGCGTAGTAGCACTGACTCGGAATGTAGCGCAACCATTGTGTTTGGCGAGCGAACAGAGACAGTTGCATTTCAAGCCTCTTGAAAACACACTTAGGAGCATGCCGAGACTCTGGGCTCACTTCGACGTACATGCAAAGACAACAAGTCTTTTTCCCATGGCGGACGCCAGCCCCAATATGGCATTGGGAAGTGTTCCTAGTGGCCAAGAACCAAGGGAGAGCCAATTGTCATTGCAATAAGTGGTAGGACGCCGTGAGTCTGAGCATGCAGTCTGGAGAGACGCTATTCACAGACACGAGCGAGAAGCTCTGGCCCTTGTATTGGGCCATCTGCGAAGGAAGATTTCCATTATACGCTTGGTATGGTGTGAATAATGTCGACTTGGGTGACGGACCACAAGCCGTTTGAGGTAATCTACTCGCACAAAGTCAAAACCATGTGCTCGGATCGAGAGATGGGTCCTCCGTGCTACCAACCGTATGAGTTCCGGAGTTGTACACGTGGGCCGGAACTAGTGATAGCGGAACCCAGTTTCGAGTCTGTTGAAAGACAGATGAGGCACCGACGCAGCAACCTGTCGGAAGAGGCGGAAGAATAATGCTGAAGATTTCGCTCGGCAACTGACGCGAACTCCCAGAGGGCCATGACACCACGGAAGTCGAGGAGCGCTGCTCAGCACAAAGACATCGAAGTGACACCACGTTCCGAAAACTGCATCGAGACCGGAGGCGCAGTGAGGGAACCGAAAACTGTGTCACAATATTTACGCCTAAGTGTGTCGCAGGACACTGTGCGACCATTGCGGTCAAAACCACGTGATGCTGAGCCCGGACAAAATGGGTTAATCCCAGGTGAGAGTTGCGTCAAGACAGGTCACTGCATACTTGCTCATGGAATGGGTCAGGTGGGGATTCGGCCCAGGCAAAACTCCGGCTT